ATTTTGTTGCAGGGGAAATAATCTTTTTGATTTCCAATCATAATAACTTTATATGTATAAAGATTTACTACCCCGCTCCACTAACATTGAGACAAGAGAGGGTGACACGATTATTAAGAAAAATGAGTTATGTGGTTGATATAAAATTGATAAAGTAATAATAAATTGAAAATGATTTAAAGTCACACAAATTTTACCAAATTTGATATGAGACAATCGTAATGGGATTTTTCATAGAGAAAAAATGGGACAATCTTAGCGGGACGAGAGAATAGTAAATTTCCAAAACTCACACTAGCGTGATGTTTAGTCTCGATTTTAAAAAAATGTCTTGTTTTTGTCCAAACTCATAAGTAATATTTATGTCCTTTCTTAATATTTTCAACTTGCATTTTGTTTTATATTTGTATTTACCGTTCTTATATTATTATTTTGTTTTTTTTTGCAATTTTGATACTTTTTAACGATTGAAGGGCGAATTAGACAATTCGGTCGAATTTAGGGTATATATCAATTAAACAAATAGTGAGGTATGTGATATCATAGAATTTGTTTAAACAAATATGTTTAAATAAATACGACAATCTTGTAAGACACTCATAAATCATAAATATTTTGAGCAATTTGATTCAAAGATGAAGCAAAATATTTATTAAATTTATTATAAAACACATCCACATACATTATAGAATATTCAAGTATCTGCAAATAAAAGTTCAAAGTTTTATATTAAAAGAAAAACTACCGAGGGATATAAGAATGCTTTTTTTGTTTATCTATTTACATAAGAATAAAGCAGAGAGAAGATCTAGGGTCCAAACCCTTTAGCTTTGCTCCGACCTGTTCACCCTCATCTCGCAATTCATGGAAGTTGGTTGTGGAAGCCAAGAAATGAAATGTGTTGGTTCATCGAGTGCTTTATAAGAACCGCCACCTTCATAACATTCTTCTTTAGCTCTTCACTCTCATCTCCAATCATAAGTTTTCTCACAATCTCTGCAATGACACTTCTCTCCACTTCTGCCAATGCCAATCCAACCTTCCATTCATGGACCAAGAATTTGGCATTCACAAACTGGCCTGCATTGAGTGGTCTGCAAATCATTGGGATGCCTTCGCCAAGACCCTCCAATGTTGAGTTCCATCCGCAATGACTCCAAAAACCACCCACTGAATTATGTGCCAAAACATCTTTCTGTGGTGCACATTTCAGAATTCGCCCTCTGTTTCCAACTACGTGCTCTTATTCTTCTCTGATCTCTGTCTTTCTTACATGAGTATGTTAAGATTCCCAAATCAATATCAAAATATAAGAATGAGGCATATGTCTTAGTCTTGTAAATAATACACTTTTTATATTTAAAAATCTAAATCGAAATCCATATTAACACCACATATAATGCATACTAATGTGGACTTTGGCAAATCTTGATGGATAAATCTTAAATGCATATAGATGTAAAAATGTTCTAGAATGTTTAAAGTTTTTTAGACAAATATAGAATCATCTAGAAGCGGTGTAAAAGTGTAGAATATTTTAGAACATCGTGGATTTTTCTAGAGAAGTGAAGAAACTCTCAAGATGCGTGTGAAATATTTACACAGTGATTAATTTGTACATAATTTAGTCTACACTTGTACATCATATTAGCCGTTCACTTCCTTCGCTGTTAGCCTTGTTCTTATGACTGCGCATACATAGGAATTCAGTTAGATAGCTTCACCCGTTAGTATATATTGCATATTTAAATGGAGCTTCGCTCATTATTAATATATATCAGAAAATACTATTCCTTCATGGTATCAAGAGCCTAACTCAACATTTTTTCCTTTTGTTCTTCATGGCAATCACCGCCACCTCCACCGTTATTGCCCTCGCAGTCACCAATCATTTTCCTATCAAACTTACTGCTTCCAACTTTCCAGTCTGGAAATGCCAAGTTCAATCTGCCTTTATTGGCTTAGGACTTGAAGGCTATATTGATGGCACCATGGCTACTCCTGCTCAATTTCTTAATGAGCCTAAAACTCAACCCAATCTGTGTCGCACCATTTGGTGTCACCAAGACAAACTATCACTAGTGCCCTCCTTGGTAGTTGTTCCAATACAATTCAACCCATTATTTCATCTGCCCTCACGACTAAAAGTGCATGGGAGAAACTTAATCTCATTTATGTTAGTACTTCTTGAGGTCGAATTATTTCCCTCAAAACCCAAATGGCTCATACTACTAAAGGTGCTCGCTCTATTGTCACCTACCTTGCTGAAATGCAAGCCCTCGCTGAAGCATTAGCACTCGCCCAGAGTCTTGTGTCTGTCGAGGACCTAGTCATTGGCATTCTCACTGGTTTAGGTTCGGAATATAATGACATCCTCTCTGTCGTTCAAGTTCGGGAAACTCCTCTACCTCTCACGCAGCTACATGATACTCTGTTGGAGCATGAAACATGTACCCATGAACAAATTGTTGCCACTCAATACATGCTACCTACTTCTAATGCGACACTGATGCTTCAGTGTGGAACTCCAAATGAATGTCACTATCATGGTGATTCTCGCTCTTCACCATGACAACGTGGACATGGGTCATATCATAATCATGCCAAACGGTCATCCAATGGCCATGTGTGTTGATTTTAAGACAATACGGGCCATGAGGTAAAATATTATCGCAAATTACAACATTTTCTTCGTGACAACACCATGACATGTGTTGCACCGGGTGGCCAATCATGGCTATTTGACACCGGGGCCTCTCACAATGTGACTTCTATTGCTACGAATCTCCCCACTTACACTGACTATGGTTGTCCTGATGAGGTCAAATTTGGTGATGGTAAGTCACTTACTATTAATCACACTGGAGAAACCACCCTACCCACACCTACTCGCCCTATATCCCTTAATTAACAATATTCTTTGTGTAGGAGGATAAGAAGGTAGTAATGAAGAGAAAAACAGAGCTTGGTGAAACGTTCTCCATCGCAAGAACTCTCAAGAAGCGTGTGAAATACTACGAAGTGATTAATTTGTACGTATTATTATTACATAACTTAGTCTACACTTGTACATCATATTAGCTGTATACTTCCTTAACTGTTAGCCTTGTTCTTACCATTGTGCATAGATAGGAATTCAGTTAGATAGCTTCACCCGTTAGTATGTATTGTATATTTAAACGGAGCTTCGCTCATGATTAGTATATCAAAAAATACTATCCCTTCATGAAATCTCTAGAACATTGTGAAGAAATATTTTGTTCTTTGTATAATTTATAAAAGAAATAGAAGAATATAGAAATGTAGTGATATGATGTATAAAAGGTCATAAAGAAAGCTTGATGAGATTAGTATAAATAGGGGCGACACCTCATTTCTATGAGATCCTTGAACTGAGTTCTTAAAATTGTGAGGGTGAGAGTCTCCTTCCGAGAGGGAGTGAGAGCCTTTTTGTGAGAGTAGAGAATCCAAGGAGACAATCTAAGAAGGCTTCCTATGAGTGTGTATGTGAGTGAGATAGAATGAAGTAGCCCTCAATACAAAAAGTGAAGTACGTTGCTCGTTTCTTTGTGAAATTTTTTCTTGTACAATTTATTGTATAATACAAATTCAAATTGTGAGATTGAGTACTTTTTTACGTGTGAAAGAGTGAGTATACAAGATTCTTATAAGCTCATTAACCTAGAAGAAACGGAGTGTCGTATTTCCACAACAAATCCAATAGGAAATAGAGGCCAGATTTTATAATATGAGGTTTATTATTATCGATCTACCGAGTTCAAAGTTTTTAAGTACAAAACTTTGTGAACAGTACACATAATAAATATTCATTAAATTTCTATTTTGGATGAAGGGGGCAAGGGTAGGTGCCCCTCTATTTTTTGTTTAAGTGGATGAATATAATAAGCTATTTTTTGTATAGTATGTTGTGTTGAGAAATATACTCTATTTTCCCTAGTATGTCTACATATGCATGCACTACAAAAAACAATCAATTTGTCACATATTTTGTCACAAATTTTATCATGGAAGTATCCGTGACAGAGGGTAACGGGTGAAAATTTAAAAAATTATCACGGGCATACATTTGTGACAAAGCTCTGGCGAAGAAAATGGGGCCGCTGGAATTTTTTGGGGTCACTAGCGACATCTTGTCGCGGATTTTGTCGGGGATTCTATCTGTGACAAACTTTTGTTAGGGATTCCATATGTGACAAATCTTTTTTGTATATGGGGGAAGTTTCGTGAGAAAATCTGAGACAAAGTTGTCAGGAACGTAATCCGTGACAAAAAAAACTTTTTTTTAGTCAGGGATTCTTTCTGTGGCAATTTTTTAGTTACAACTTTTTCATGTTTGTCAATGCACAAATTTGACCATTGATATATTTTATTCTTTATCAATAAAAATTTTAAAATGAGATAGATGTAACAATACTTTTCAAAAAGGGGTAATTTGAGCTTGCATCCCATTTTATTGTCCAAATTGGATTTTGCACCCCATTTTTAATAATATTTGAATTTGCACCTCAACCCCGTATGAAAAGACGAAAATGCCCCTCCATTAACAATTCGGTTGGCCTTCAACATATTCCTGATCGAGAGGCATTTTTGTCTTTTCATACGGGGTTGGGTGCAAATATAAAGATTATTAAAAACGGGGTGCAAAATCTAATTTGAACAATAAAATGGGGTGCAAACTCAAATTACCCCTTTCAAAAATAAAATTTATGATACATCAATAAATAAAATGAAATCAAAGTAGAGCATGACAATAATGTAGAATTTAACACGTTGCAATTTAAAACACCAAGGTAGTGTGTAAGTAGACAATTTTATATGTATTCATCTCAAAATGTGTACTTGTATCATGCATGATGAAATTAAACCAGCAGAATTATAAATTATATACCGTTGGTTGAACCGGGTCGAACCGCCCATAAGGACGGTTGGTTGTTGTTAGCCAACCCCCCCCCCCCCCCCCCCCCCCAAGCTATCTCTGTGAAGTCTCTTTCACTAATTGCACCTAAACTCCCCGATGCGCTTACAAAGAGGACAGACTGAGGAGCTTCCTTGTCCAACCATACCAGGCAGCTATCATCTTCATCTATCAAGCTAGTTCTGCCGGTTGATGCAATCTTATGAAGAGGGCCTATTTGAAAGATGGGAACTTTGCAATGCTGTTGAAACCTTGAAAGCCATGTCTGCTCAAGATCCTCCATTGTGTTCCATATTACGGTCATGGAGGATCTTGTTTTGCTTGCTTTCAAAATGAAGTTTCTTACTTCTTCAGAAATGCTATGGATTGGGATGTCCTGATATCTGACCGGATGAAGCTCAGGAACAGAGTCCTGAAGCCTAACTCTGGAGCATGAGTAGATTAGCAATTGAGAGTAGTTTTGTTTCTTCATTTTCTTACATCATTGAGAAAATTTTAAAGAGGTCCTTAGTAAAGGCATCTCATGTTCTAAAATTACAATATTTCATTTTTATAGATTTATTATGTTTTGCCTCCGAACTAGTTAAAATAATTACAGCAAGTAATGAATAAAAAAGGTGGATACAACACTATTTAAGTAGGTATATGCGTGTTTAAATCTTTATGTTTTATGAGGCACAAATTAAGAAGGCATACCAGGAAGGAGGGAAATAGTGTCCTCGTGTTCAAGAATATGGAGAAAAGCTGCCAAGAAAACAGCGTTGAAAGGGCGAAAAACAATGGAAGGGACGTTGAGAAGAGTAACGATGTGATCAACAAAGAACATGGCGTTATCAATGATCATAGATGACACAAGAAATCAGGTCTCCCTTCTCATTCACAGCCATGTCACTTGCTTGGATTCCATCCGCCAAGCCGTGGAAGGCTAATTCTGGGTGGTTCTTTGGGTTTGGAGAGTTGAACTGGGTGTGGGCAACTATGATGGAGAAACCCTTTGAATGAAGGACTTGTCCCAGTTGTAACATTGGCGTTACATGCCCTTGAAAGGGGTATGCCAACAATACTACATAGCGCTGCCGCCTTACAACTCCGATCTCCATCTTTTCTTTCTTTCTTTCCTGACTTATATCTAATGCAAGTCAAGATGAATTGTGCAAGATAAATAGATTAACCATAGATTCATTACATCATAATGGGGTCATCCATGATTCATACACATATACATGTCAACATTTGTGCACCTAAAGTCGTGAAAGTAAAAAAATGTCGAGTCAGAGTTGATCATAGAAAAATGCTAAATTTGTTCTATAGTCTATACTAACACACATGGGGTGATTGGACCAAATTTGTGATCTGCCAAAAGAAACCAAATTTGATCATATGATATTTCGTTACAAATACTTGCAGATATCTGAGTTTTTTATACTCAGCCCCATTTCATAACTTTTTTTGAACTGCAAGTTCCTTTCCTAATAGTCTAATACCTTATTTAAATTTCAAATTAGAAATTTTATGAACAAAATTTTAAAGTGAGCATGAAACAGTGCATCTTGTTGCATATACTGTCCACTATGCCCACCTGTTAGTAAGACCAATACCAATAAACACTTGAACAATATTTTAACCACGTACAACATTATGAGACCTCGAAACCACAAATAATGTTTCTTGTGTTGATTTTTAGGTAAAACGTCCTATGTGGATCATTATGTGCCCCACTACAAGCACACTCTTATAACAAATTCACAACAACTGAACAGAAAAAATGTAGAAGTAACATAACCATTCATCTTAATAATCACCACAGATGAGCATAGCACGTTGAGAAGGAAAAAACAAATTAAGGGAACTATAAATCTCGAAAAAACAATGCATAAGTTGAAACGCTGTGAGTGTGTGATACACAGTCGTCTGCCAGTCTACAACGCCGGAGTGGTTACTCACTCCTCTTCCTCTGCCTCCTCTAGCCACTTCACGAAGGGCTCCAGCGACTTCACAAATGATTGTCTGCCCATAACAATAATTGATTTTAATTACTCAGGTAAATATATCCACAAAAATAGAGGAGAAGAGTATGGCTACCAAAAAAAGAGAAGAAAAGGTTCACAACTTTACCTGCCCTTGGGATTTGTTCCTTTGCGGAACCAATGAAGGATGGTGTCTTCAGCAAGGACATCCTGGTCATAAAGTGACCTTATGATTTCAGGGAACAATTTCATCAGCTTTGCATCCTCATAGCACTGCACTTGGACTTTGTATATCAGTTCCAGTTCCAGCTTCCCGCTTGTGCAAAAGGCATTCAGCAACTTCGCCCATGTTTTCACCTATAGAAAAAATGAAGAGCCCAAAATATATAAAAACGTACGAGGACTTGAAGAAGATAAATCAAATTGGGAAGATGAAAAAGTACCACCTGACCAATGTTATAAATAGAAATATCACACCACATTCAACATTTCCTACACACATAACGGATATGGACAACCATAGATGCATATTAAAATGGTCCTATATATAATTCACTTTTGTATTACCAAGATGCATTTAATTTTTCTTCCAATGTTGTTCCTGTAGAAAACTCTAGCATATTCCTCTTCAACATGTCATGTTAGAAAAGTGAAAATTATTTTCCTGACTATATCCTCGGCCTGTATGAAATTCAAAATCGCATCTCATAATATTGACTGGAGGGGGTGATGCCACACAGTATATGAAATCAGCTATGAGCTCACTTATTATTTATCAACCATTATCTGACTTATCGGTGTGGTTCACCATATAGAGCCTTAATATGTGTGTTTTGACAAAGTGAGCAGATGAATGGAGAATGGAGGGAGTATATAATGATATCTAAAGCAAAACATAGATTGGTAACCTGGCGCAGAGCTAAATTAGCATTCTGCTGTTGATTTTTCCCAGACCATTGCACGGCATCCATCAATACATCCCAAAGAATCCGAATAGCCTCAATATCTGGAAGCTTAGCATCTTTAACATACTGTTTTACAGTATCTATGACCTCAGAGATATCAGTTTCTTCTGATATCTGAGTTGTCAATGCCGTTTTCATTTCCTTGAGCTTCACTTCAAAAATTTTCTTCTCGTTGTATTCGACCAAGGGCAGCAGTCCAGCATTTCTGATGTAAGATGGTGACGTGTTATCAACATCAAGGCTAAGACATTTATATATTATATGAAATATGAATATGTGCACTTGGTTCAGTAACCATTGATATGAACCAAAACCTGCTTTCCCACATTTCCTGTCTTAACTGATACGTAGCAGTAGTGTACACACTTTACTATTGGTTGACATTGCCATATTGATTAAAACTAATAAACATTAGGGAAATTTATTTATATGTGACAAACAATTATAGATTCGTAATACTACCTCTGTTCTTTTTTAGTTGCAACATGTTGAATTTTACATTACTCACATGCTCTACTTTGACTACATTTTATTTATTAGTATATTACAAAGTATAAATTTAATTTTTTGAAAAAATTTGTTGAACTCCTCATTTTAAATTTTCAAAATCTAAATTTTTAATTTTTTTTACTAATAAGAAAAGAAATATATTAATGATCAAACTTGTGCATTGGCAAACGTGAAAATGGAAACGTTGTAACTAAAAAAGAACAGAGGAAGTATATGCCTAACAAACTCAAACATGCATTTATATGAGTAATAACTAAATTGAAGGTAGTAAAAATGGCATCAAAACACTTACCATTCATGCAAGACACCATTACCTTAGGAATAAAAGAGTGTAGTTTTTTATTAGGAATCACCACCCCTTTCTTTTACTAGTAATTTTCTCTAAATATTATCTTTTCTATAAATTCTATAATAGTAATTAGTATGTACCAACCAATTAAAACAGACACACTAACGTGCGATGAAAAGTAAAATACTTTGTATTAGAATTAAACTACATCCAGCCTATAAGATGAGTCAATGGGTTGAGAGACGGGAAGAGGGACTAGAAAAAACTTTTAATATAACAAGGTACTCCCTCTGGTCCTTATTATAAGGCCCCTCTCATAGAAGTGGCCAATGGTTCTTTTTATGTGGCATCATACTTATCTAGAAAACATTTACTAAATTACTACAATTCTCACAGTTTCCCCCAAAGAAGCATTAACGAAACTATTTATTCACCACGCATAGCTTAAAAAGAGGGGAAGTTGGGATATCATAATATTTCTAGGAACTCAAGAAAAAATCCTTTTTTGTATAATTCGATCAATTGTATCTTATACTAAGTTGCAAGGGATCAATAAACATGTGGCAGATCTTGCCTGCAATTTAAAACATTACAGGGATTCAAATTGGCTACTTGATGGTGATTGAACTGAGGTAATGAATAACAAATGAGTCCACTAAATGCAAAAATTAAAAAGTTACTACACGGTTTAGTTACTTCACTATTGAATATGTGAAGAACTATGTCGTCGCCTTTCTTGGGGGTTCCATTCAGTTCTCAAAATTTCAAAACAATTAGGCCCAATTTATTTCAATTACATACTAGATTCTAAATAAGAAGGCTGTTTTCAGCGAGTCACAAAATTTAAACCCAACGTAGACCTGAATTCAGTCCTAACTCCTAAGTAGTGCAAGATGGATCCGATTTAGTCCTAATACAACAACAACAACCAAGCTTTGATCCAAAAAGATTTTGGGGTCGGCTAATATGAATCGTTACATGATATCAGAGCCAAAAAAGGAAAGGTAAGAAAGATAAAAAGATAAGGTAAGATAAAGATAAAATGATAAATATAAGATCAAGATAAAATGACAAGATAAAAAGGATAAAGAACATAAGAAAGATAAAGAAAATAAAAAGATAAAAGAAAAAAGAGAGAAAAGAGATCATTCATGTACACGGATTTAGTCCTAATGCGGACAAAAAAATACCCTTAACAATTCGAGTAAGATATGCATAAAGGCTAACAACTGAGTCTGCCGTGCATAGTCAAGGACAAAAATGAGTCCAAAAGAAGGTGAGGACCAAATTGAGTCCCAAGATGTTGAGGTCCAAATTGAGTCGCCAAGAAGTTGAGGACCAAATTGAATCGCCAAGAAGTTGAGGACCAAATTGGGTCCCAGAGAAGTTGAGGACCAAATTGAGTCCCCAAGATTTGAGGACTAAATTGAGTTCCCAAGAGGTTGTGAGCCAAATTGAGTCTCAAAGAAGTTGAGGACCAAAATGAGTCCAAAAGAAAGTTGAGAATAAAACTAAGTAATAATATACCATTGATAGACTGAGTGGGCATTTACTGTGGATTAAATGAAATAAACAGGACTATTTTTCTCATTGATTAAACAAACTTACGTGAAATGCTCGGAGAAGGCTTCTGGGGTCCTCTTCGCTGATGGGAAGAACTCAAGAAGATTGTCCTCCACTTTACCCCGCTTACAAATCGCGATCAGGTCATCAAGACTGTTATCAATCAAATACTCCGTGAAAAAATCTGTGATGAATGACAGAACTATCCCTTTTGCGACAAGATTATCCTTGAGCAACGGCTGGAACACAGTCTCTGGTGGAAGGCCAGACAATTTCTGGGAAAAGGCAAGGGCTGTAAAAATTGCCAGCTTTTTCCTTTCCTTTTCTTCAAAAAGTTCCAAGGACTGCAGCAGTCGCCGCATAACATTTTCAAGGCTCTTTATGAGAAATGGTTTTCTTCTCAATATCTTTTGTACAAAGATGACAGATGGCAAGATAATTTCACGCTTGGGTTCACACTCGATCACAGCGAATGAGTGACGCTCTCCTTCATCAGGTTTTACTGTTCCAGGTTGGGTGCGACCTCCTGTGAACACAACCTGCAAAAAAACGCCTCTTTTTTAAACCTTTATATGAAATACTCTAACCAACCCACTATAATTGTCCCATTTTTCCTTTTCCGTCCGTCCCACTAAATTTGTCCCATATCATATTTGGTAATATTTGTATGGCTCTAATTCACTCTTACACTATTCCTACTTTATCAATTAATTATCAACCACATAACTTAACTTTTCTTAAAAAGTGCTCCACTCTCCTTTGTCCCAATCTTAGGGGGGCAGAGGTAGTACATGGGTAGAAAACATCAAACATTAAATTTAAAAAAGTTGATAGATGGAATGGTTATTTTAGGAAAATATTGAAATGCACTCTCAGGTTTCAATGCATCCATGTAGATCATATTCATAACCCCAGCATACACATGAAAAACTACCATGATACTTGATATGGAGTATTTTCAGGACAGGCTCAGACTATAATGCCCAAAACTTTTCAGTAGCAATTAAAAATGGAGTATAATCCATTAAGGAACCAAAAGGTATGTTAGATATCAATGAAAGAACTGGAAGACAGAACTACCAATTTAGGACCTGAATGATTAAAAGGTTAAATTATCAAGTTAAGACTAAAGAAGTTGAGATTTTTCTTATTACTCTATATTGATTATTTTATTTTTAATATGCAATGAAAGTTTCATAGATTAAATATTAAATTAACAAAAAAACATTACAGCAAATTCAAAAAATGAAAAAAAATTTAAAAGAAAAGAAAGACATGCTCTTAAAGTCTTGGATTGATAGTTTCAATCATTCAGATCCTAATCAATAGTTCATCTAGATCATGATTGGAATATATTATCTTCTAGAGTCCTGAATCATAAAACACTATATTAGAAAATATCTGCAAAAGATAATAATATACCTCAAAAAAAGTGTCGCCGTATCTACTGAAGTTAAGTTCTGATGACTCAATGCTCTTGACAACAAGTTCCTGCAGAATATATTACACTTAAGTCAGTAAGGGAATAAGGGATCCTAAGAATAAATAGGGCTATCTACATGACTCTCCACATAGTGAACATGATTGATAAGAGTACAAAGATACTTTATGATAGAGTAGTATGTAATAAAAACTCAGAGAGAAAAGTTTAAGAAATAGAACGCATAGTAGACCAAAATACCAGATCACCAGCATTATCCAGATAGATCTGGACCACTGCATCCGCAAATGATGCAGTGTCCAGTGGTGCTGCAATATTCCGCTTGCGGGTCTTAATCCGCGCGCCACTGCATATACATGGCATTGAATGATAAACTATAAGTAAGAAGGAAAAATATTTTTGCACGGCCACAGTGATGGCCAACCTAGGGTTCCGTTTGATAAGCATAATCGCCATATGCTGCTTATCAACAGAACAGAACAAGAAAAATAAGTTTTTGAGTTACTTGTTTGGGTGAAATTGATGTTACCAAACGCTTTAAAAAAATTAGTAGATTTAGTCAGTTCAGCCAAATAATCATTACAAACGATCTCCTGGTTACTATAACATTAATTAATAGAAAAAAAATTACACTACAGGTATTGTAGATTTGTAGATACTTACCCTAGAGTGGGTTTCTCCTTGGAGCTGCTACATGAAAAACAAACAAGAGTTAGCTCTATTTGCATTAAAACATCACTCATAGCAAGTAAGAAGTTCTGAATACCGTTGCATGGTATATAGTGAAAACAACCTAACCTACTCCATCAAGTATCAAAACATCAAGCTAAATGGAAATTAAAATCAATCTAAAATCCATGTGTATACATACTTATCAGTCAAATTGCGCAATAATTATATGTGTGCATAGCTTAATTATCGATCCTATCAAAGAGAAACTAATCGATAGGATAATTTGGGTTTTTGTTTATGATACTCCGTAAGAAACTATGAACCCTGGAAATTTGAAGAATATGTGCATATCTTTGTCTCTCTGAGACGAATCAATAGCTCGCCAAGAAAAAAGACATCAAAAATTGAAGCTTTTTAACAAAAACAAGATTTCTGGTGGAAAAGTATCAGATCCCATTATTTAGCCTTCATAATAAATGAAGAAAATTAACAAAAGATCAAAAGAAAATTCAGAAGAAGGAAAAAAAATCATAGAGGTATCGTTCTTACCTCATAAACCAAGATCGAGATGAATGAATCTGAATACGCGCAGACTCTCTGAGATTCGCGATGCAGAAATAGACCGAGAGAAAGAGATCTCCTTTAGCCGCCTTATAGAAAGATATTGACAGTTCTTTATTATTACTGAGTTTTTTTTAATAAGAATAATCGAAAGGGGTAATTTTCCCTACGCCCCTGCAATTTAAAAGTAAATTTCTAAAAAAACACCCTCAATACGACAAGTCTTTTTCAAATACTCCGTGAATCCTTATACCTTACGGCTGGCGGTAGAGTGCGGCCTCGGTTAAACTTGTAATTTTTGTGAAAATCGCGAATTCTCATAAATGAGCATTTATACAATTTTGATGAGCATCAAGCGTGTTCTTTTGAGTATTAGGAGTCTAACGATGAGCATCAGTGATCTCTGCTTCATACCTTATATATCACTTTCTGTTTATTATTTTTTCGTTTATTAGAAAGTTTTAAGTTATGTCTATAATCAATTTCAATTAATTTCAATATGTGAATTTAATGTAGTATGATATGTTTGAAATGTGCAACCTTTTAAATGATCATTACGCAGTATCAAATGAGCACATATAACTTACAAAATGAGTATCAAAGAAATCAAAAACACACAAAATGAGTATAAAAAATCGAAAGCTCATTTGTGTATGCTCATTTATTTCGGGTTTTATACTCGTTTGAGTTTAACATAAAACTTATTTTTAATGTGTTTAATATTCAATTGTGGATGTTCATTTCTTTTATGCATATACTCATTTGAATTTAATATAAAACTCATTGAGATCAATAACAGTTTTTTTTGAATTGACATCAGATGTGAATTTTTGAAAGCAAAGAAAATGAAAAAACAAAAGCAGAAAAAAAAAGACAAAATGAGAAGCAGAGCAGAAAACGGGAGAGCAAGGCGGAAGAGAAACAACGGAATTGAAGTTTGGAAGTGTTTTTGGCCAAATCAACAGGAACAACATGTCTCACAATTGTCTGGATCTCCATGGCTGTTATCGGTGGCTTCTTCTTGTAACGAGCAAGTCTGGAGGATTCTTGAACCTTGCTGGAAATTCCGGCGGCCGGTGTGCGGACATATGGTGCGAAGCGAAGAAGGGCAAAGCCAAAAAAGGGCGGTTGTACCGTGCGCACGGTGCAGCCAGCTGTACGATATATTTTGTCGTACTCCGTAGGAGTTATTGTACTCGCTTTTCGACTTTTCCTAATCTACCCCTATCAATATCATCATCATCTGTTGGGTGTGTTTCGGAAAATAAAGGAAATTAATTAAAATAAATTAATTAAATAAAATGACTAGAGAAGAACAAGAAAGGAGATGAAGCAGAATTAGTCAAAGCTCGTGCTACGCACGATGTCCTTAAAACGTATTTGTTGCCTCCCATTGTGCTAGGAGCGTTGCAACAATCGTTTCCGAGGATACGATGACTACGAACTAATGTTTCAGCACACAAACAAGAGTTCCAGCGAACGAGAACCAAGTATGAACACAGAAGGAATTTGCAGATTAGCTGGAAGTGTTGTTAGCTCAAGAAAACGTGAGGAATGTATTGTGTGTTGTCAAAACCGTGTGTTTGTTGTAAAGCACCTGCTAGCCTTTTATAGGAGGATTTGTTGTGTGTTAAATGGGGAGTTAATGCACCTGAATGTTGGACATCAATGACCAGTCCGTTGGGCATTGAATCATCCATAAACTGTCCATTTAACGCTGCATTAAAAGACAAGAACGTTGGGCATTTAATGGCTGTAACGGCTTGGAGCAGTTCTGGTGCGCGGTCAGAATACCCCCATCAGAGTTGGAGCAACTCTGATGCTACCAGAATACCTCCACCAGAGTTGGAGCAACTCTGATGCAAAGCCACCAGAGTTGGAGCGTCTCTGGTACGAAGCCACCATAATTCGAGCAACTCTGGCGGCTTGGAGCACAACTCTGATGCTACCAGAATACCTCCACCCGCGTTGGAGCAACTCTGATGCGAAGCCACCTGAGTTGGAGCGTCTCTGGTACGAAGCCACCAGAATACCTCCACCAGAGTTAGACCGTATCTTTGAATGATAGGTTTTCGGACGACATTCGTGTCCGCAGGTCGCCCGCGCACACGAGTCGCGGTTTTTCTTCTCCGTTTCGGAATCTTAACTCCTTAAAAGAGGCTTCCCTTTATAAGGGGGTGAAAATCCCTTGAGTTTTTCTGTGTGGGATAAAACACACTAGAAACCCATCATTTTCCCAATTTTTCCATTTCAACGAGTGAACTTCGAGAATCAATTTCTCATTCACCCGTTATCCGTTTTGAGTGTACCACATATCGAATTGTAGCCCTTAACAAGGACAATCCGAAACCACTTTGACCCGACCCAAATCGTAAGTGGACCCCACTCAAATAATTACCCCAAAATGACCATTTAATGCAATTTTTAACACATTTTTCCAACATCATCATCATAACCTAATGTGGAAATCATTTTTTTATATTAAAACATCAGAATTTTAATATATAATACATAAATTGGTGCACAGATTTTATTATTAATATTAAGTTATCTCACCTAGAGAGAGGAACATCGGCGGTCGTCTCCCCTCTTGTGTAATGGTTGAGATTTTCTGCCACCTCTATCGATATGGGGTCGTAGCGACAAATTATAATGATTTTAAGTGATCTAACGTTTGGGATTGCAACTACGTCGGAGGAGATAGTGTTGACGGATGAACGAGATGCGGCTGGGAGGTTGTATCGAGGATGGATCGTGAAGCCTTGGTCGGTCATTCCGGCGGTGGTGGAGTTGGTATTCACTCATATTTCAAGAGTTTGTCCTCCTTCGGAACCACCTCCATACCAGAAAGAGCTTTGTGGAAAGGTTTTATTTCAGTATTATTTTCTCTTTAGTAGCAATTGTTTCTGTTTTAGTCCGAATAGATTTGGTTTGAATGTTTGGATTTTTTGAGTTCTTTCGATAGACAATGTTTTGGTTCTGATCGTTTTAGGCCTAGATTGTCTGTTTCAGGTTTAGCGAGTCATGTTGCTTTGTATGAGGTGGTTGACTCTAAGTCAACTCCTAGGGTTCACGATTGGATCTGTAAATTTTGTTTGAAGATTGGCTTGTATGTGTTCTCGATTTTAATATAACGGGCGTTCTTTTATGGTCAAAAAATTAATAAATAAATAAATTAAAACTGAAATAAAAATAAAAAGTAAAGAAAAATAAAATCAAAAATCAAAAAACACTAAAAACATTAAAAAACACATAAAAATATAAAAAAAAATGGAAGCTCTCCCGCCATCTCTGTCACCTCGCAGCATACCTCCTTCGATTGTTAGAAAAATGTCATCTTATTTAACAATGACATTTTTCTCGAAAATGTCATAAAGATGTCATTTTTGCTTTGAGAAATTTGTCATTGCTAAGACAAAACCATAGACTTCTTTCAAAAATAGGACTTAATCTTTGATTTTCTCTAAATAGGACTAACCATTTCTTTTTTATCCCTAATTGAATTAATTAATTAATTAACCCAATTATTCCCCTAGTTCTCTTGCACAACCAAGGCAGTTTGTTGGTGTGAGGGCAGTCTGGTGGTGGTGGTGGCTCGACGGTTGCGGCGGATTCGGTGGAGGTGGTGGTAGAAAATCAGGCAGCATGCCAAAAAAATCCAGAAAACTGCGGCGAAGTGCTGACGTCATGTGGCAGACAGCGGTCCGATGACTCATTGGGCAACAGTGGTAAAGCCTATAAGGGTATGTTGGTCCAACGTCTTATTTTAGGATGTTTAAACTAGGTTGTCTTATTTTGAAAAAAATTGTGGTTTGATCTTATTAAAGTAAATCTCCTTTCTACTTTTTGAAATGCAAAAACTTGCTATGAAATTGCTATTAAAAAAACAATGCAAGTAGACATTTTCTAATGGTTGGCAGCATGGGTTTCGTATTTTTTTCTTTTCTCTTTTTTTAAATTTTAGTTTTTGTTATTATATTTGTTTTTCTATTCTTATCTCCACTTAATTTATTTATTTGATTTCTTTTATTTGTTATATTTTTATTATTAATAAAAATATGATTTACTAACTGAAATATAGAACGGGTAAGGACATAATTACTCTTATTTAGAGAATTTAATACCTAATTTTTTCCCTTATGATTTAACTTTTGTTTACTCTTATTCGGAGAATTATGAATTGTTCTGATCGTCTTATTCTTATCGATTATTGCTTATTTTTATTTTATTAATATCAGATTAGATCAAATCAAAAAATTAAGATCAGATCAGGCATGATCAGAAAGATTCAAATCATATCAGGTAAGAAAGACCGGATTAGATCAGAAGATTGAGACCAAATCAGAAAAATTCACATCAGAGCGAATCAGAATCATTTAGATCATATCAAAAATATTCAGATCAGATCATAAAAGTTCAGACTTGATTTATTATTTGTATTATTATTGTTATTGTTGTTGTTGTTGTTATTGTTATTATTTTTATTATCAACATTATTATTATTTTTATTTTTGAAAATTCAAAATTATTATTATTACTATTATGATTATTATTATCAATATTTCTTATTGTTACTATTATCATTATTATTATTTCTATGTTAGCATGAATATAAAAATATAGTTCTTGCTATTAATTAATATTCAAAAAATAATAATGTTTTTTTTTGGCACAAATAAAAGTAGCTTATTTTAATCAATCATGGTTCAACGGAAACAAAATACAATCAGGAGGAGAATCAACCCAAATATTGCAACCAGTCATAGAACCCGCAACTTTAGCAAGTGTATGAGCTACGTGGTTCGCTGAACGCTTCACATGATTAAAAGTAATATCATTAAAAGTATTTGCTAATTCTCAAATGTCATCCACGAGAACTCCACAAGAAGAATCATCAAAGCCGCCTTTGATTAAATTAATTACTTGTAGTGCATCCGACTCGAGATCCAAACGATCCCATCCCGCCGACTCAGCCAACTGAGGGCTTCCCAGATAGACGTTGCTTCTGATTCCTTTGGAGAGTACTCTCCCGCTTGTGAGTTGCGCCACCGGCTAGGAAGATCCCTTCGCAAGATCTTGCTACCCAACT